TACTCATATCATTGTGGGAAAATTCTACTACCAGTCCTTCATCACCTTAAGCGAAATAGGGTGAATAGATTTCATATTACTTTTAAATTGTTCGTTAGATTTATGGATGAATATTTTATAATTTTGTAATTCCTGGGAAATAGCTTTTCTTACTCACATGGGCACACAGACAACGCAGATGCACTCAAGAAAGAGCACCCTAATTAATATGAAAAGGCCTAAGAAATCATTCTATATTTGTCTCTCCAAATCAAAATAATTTAGTTTTTGTTAGTGATTATATAGAGAATGGATAGTCTTCTAGACTAAGTATTAACTTGAAGCCGTCACAAGAATGAGTTATCGCTCTGACGATGTCTGTCATATTATAGCACGTTCCCACCAGAACTAGAGCAGGCTGTTTTAGGTACCGGGCTAAATTACAATTCTCTGTTGAGCCAAATGACGTTAGACTATATGGCTTTCACCAACTATCTACTGGTGGCTTAAGAAATAGCGCAGGAGTAAAAAGTACATTAGAGCTGGAATCTAGTGAAATTGGTCAACCAGAAAGATAAGACACGGATCTACGGGACTATGTGGATGATCCGGATAGGAGGTCGAGTCGGATCATCCACTCGAAAGGGAGGAAGGCATGGCAAATAGCAGGTGTGATGACGCTACAGTAAATTCACCTAAAGGGCACTCCTCTTGAGGAGGGGAATACAAACAAGTCAGAAGATGTGATACGGCGCGAACAGGACAAGAGGGTAAGGGGTAGATAGAGGGGCCAGGACAAGAAGATGAATGATAGCATAATCGTTTCTGCAGAAAGTGGTTCAAGAGGTAAACCTCATTTGGCTCTGACGAATTGTAGCTTGCTGCTGAGATTGGCATGACACGCTGACGATTGCGTCGACACATCTGAGAATCTACCAAGCTCATGGTCCGACGCTTATAAATATGATAACTATTATAAGAGAGGAATTCGGACAAGGTGAGTACAACTAAGTCGCCCTGACAACACGGCCAAATTGCGGAAACGAGGTCAGACTACATCTATACATCGAAAGGCGACTACGACCAAGATACAGGCCACAACTTCTTGGTCTTCGTTTATATATATACAGGTCTAACTTGCGATACCACTTAATTTCATTATTTTCAGCTTCTTAAAGTTCTTATTACCCAGCCTGGACTGCGTCTTCGTCCTTGCCGCGACCAAAACAAGATCCAAACCAGATCGTGAGTATCATTTAGAGATCTTTCCACGACTATCAATAGATCACAGGAAAGGTGTGATTGTCAAGGTAAGCCAGGCTCTTCCAAAATCACCTTAATATGGCAGGATTTTGATTTGAGCAATAATGTAGTTGCAACAAACACTTCTTTTTCTATTTAGTATTACTTATCACTAATATTTAATATTGCTATCAGTAATTGTATTTTTGTCGAACTTATTTGATTATTTCGTTGCATTATTATTTGATGCTATATTTATTTTTTTCTAATTCATATTTTTGTAACATTTGATTTATTACTGCTTATTTATTTTCAATGAGCTATACTCTAGTTGAGTATGTTTTTCATCCCGTGTGTGTTGCAGAGCAAGTCCGGACAAAGTTTAGATTGCATATCAACCTGAATGAGTAATAATTGAAATATGCTAGTGTAGATGAAATTCCCTGAAATCGTGAAGCTTATTGACTCCATTTTGGAAAAGTTCTTTATTAAACAGGAAATCGCCTTATGCAAGTTCAGTTGACTAAGGTTCTTACTAAAATTTTTTTTACAAATAATTATATTTATGCTAAAAAACGAAATGCTTCATTTG